CCAGTCCAAGAGAGAGGGCAAATGGACCCCCAGAACCCTGACCCTCAAATTTGGTAGAGAACATTGGACATGCACTGCTCCATGCCAGAGGCAGTATGCCTTGGCACACCAGCTGCTGGGGCACATGGGTCGCTGAGTGTTCTTGCACTCATGCCCTGCTTGTGAGTTCCTTTGGCTGCTTAGCTGGTGGGCCGCTGTGTGACCAGGCCTAGAAAGGACTCGTTTTCTGAACCGACAGCACTGCTCTTGCGTTCTTCCACTGCTTGGGTCCCTTTTATGCTCTGACTCACCTTCCAGACTCTTTGCCCTTCAAGGTGAGAAACTGGCTGTGAGCAAAATTCTTGTGTTATGTGATGTTCGGCTTGTGTGTGGCTTGCCACTGTAGCGCTCACTTCTGAGCGATCTGCAGTTGATCATCATTTAGGGGCCGTGACAGCAAACCCTCGAATGTGATTCCTGAAGCAAGCTGGGGAGTGGCGGGGGCAGCGGGGGGTGGGGGGATCCTTGTGCAACTGAGCAAAGGCACACAAGGATCAAGTCAAGCTCCACTCCGATGTCGGGAGAGTCCTCGGGCAGCTCTTGAGGGGTCCTGCTCTCTCTCGTGTCCTCTTCTCCCAAGCTGCTCTGTCAGCGCTGGCGCCAGGTGGCAGAACCCCGGACTCTCTGGCCAAACCCCACACTGCAGAGTGGGATCGCACAGCCCCAAAGTCTGCCCACCCCAGCCAGGGCTGCGATGAGTCACAGAGATCCACAGAGGAGGGTGACTGTCTGGGAAGGAGATCGAAGCAGCCGAGCTTCTCGGGAAGTAATCCTGGCTTACCTTGATTGTGAATGTACACTGGTATTTTGGGGAAGGGCGACGGGGCCCGTTGGCATGTAGTGCAAAGCTGTCTTCAGGCGAAGGAACGGGGCACACGCAGCCCGGGGGATGGATCTGGTGTGCCTGTTCACACACGCACAAGTGCCACCTGAGAACTGCAGTGCCCCTGGGGCTGCTGGGGGAGCCGAGCATTTTCCCGTGGAGGGGCTGCCGTGAATTCCGGCTGGTCCATAAGGCATTTTTACAGGAAATAGGCGTCCTTCAGGGAATGCTGGCGAGCCGGACCCTGTCCAAGTCCTGTGCGGCATTAACAGAGCGGGACATCGCTTGGTCCGTGTCTCTGCGAAGTGCGCTGCTGAAGGGATCCTGCATGTGAATCCGTTGCTTTGCTCGCCGGCGGACTTGTGCCTGCGACTGCCGCTTTTGCGTGCATGACTCATCCGCCATGTGCACAGCTGTGCCCCCCCCCACTCCTCGCAGCTCCAAACGGCCGAAGGGCTGCAGCACCCCAGCCCCCATCCCGGCATCCCCCCTTTGCAGGACCGCGAATGGAAATTGCAGCTCGCCTTGCGGGCTGGCGGAATCCGATCCTTGCGAGGAGGCTGGGAGACCTGGAGCCGGGCCGGATGAGTCAGAGAAAGCCGTTGCGGAGGGAGGGAGGGCGGCTGTCTGGAAAGGAGATCTGAGGAGGAGGGGGGCGTGCCTGGAGGAGCAGGGGACGCGGCAGTGGTCCTGCCTCTTCTCCGGCCCCGGGGTCTTCCTCCGCTCCGGGACGAACGCGCCCGGCTTATGTGGGCTGCTCCTGGCGGGTAAGAAAAGCAGCTGTCGTGTGGGGGCTGCTGCAGCGGATCTTCACACGGTGCAAGGCCGGGATCGCCAGCCGCTCCGTGCGGAGGTGGGGGCAGGCCATCTCCGGGCCGCCGGGAGGGCCTGGCAGGGCCCCTTTTTGGCCACTCGCTGGCCTTAACTGCCTTAGCTGGGTTGTCATGAGGATCAAACAGAAAAGGGAGGAAGCATGGAAGCCACCCGGCGTTCCTTGGAGGGAAAAAGCGGGGTATAAATTTAATAAGCATGCTTCAACAGTCCTGCCTGTGAATTCCCCCAGAATGCTCCTGGCCTAGCATTCATAGGGCATGCTGGGAGATGTTAATCCTGTCATCTAAGCCCTTTGAAGGTCCACTCAGAGAGGAAGGGCAGCCAGCCCTCCAGCGAAGAGCCAGCTGTGGAAGGCGCCCTGTTCCTCAGACCACAGCTGGGCCTTCTGGTTTGTTGAGCTCCAAATGACATTGCTTCTGTTATCATTAAACAGGTGGCGCAGTGGTTTAATCCGCTGTGCTGCTGGGCTGGTTGATCGAAAGGCCGCCGGTTCGAATCTGCACGACGGGGGGAGTTCCCGTTGCTCCGTCCAGCTCCTGCCAACCTTGCAGTTCGAAAGCATGCAAATGCAAGGAGATAAAAGGTACCACTTTGGTGGGCAGGTAGCAGCGTTCCGTGCACTTTGGTGTTTAGTCATGCTGGCCACACGACCACAGAGACTGTCTGCGGACAAGCGCTGGCTCCCTCGGCTAGGAAACTGAGAGGAGCACCGCCCGTTAGAGTCAGGCATGACTGGACTTAATGTCAAGGGGAAACCTTCCCCTTATGAAAATCCAAGGGAAGATTAATCTTCCAATACAAACATATCCTACCCACCCCAAACTTTTCCAGGCTGAAATCTCCTCTCTGCCTCCTTCCCCGCACAGCACCCTCTCGTCCCCTTCCTTCCTCTCCTGGCACTTTGAACTGGGCCCAACGTTTCATCACTTCTTGAGGGTTCAGCAAGGTCAAGACCCCTGGCTGGAGAAGGGGCTTGGACTGGATGACCTCCGAGGAGCCCTCCCACCCTAAATCTCTGTGCTTCTTGTCACTGCGGGTAATTGGCCGGGCTGTCCTGCCTGGGGGGCCAGTAGCCAGGCCTGTAGGGGCAGCAACATTGGCCCCCCAGCTCCCTTCTGGCCCCTTGTGCCCCTCCCCTCCTGTGCCTCTGCAGAAGCCTCAGATCCCAGAGAGAGAAGTGTCATACACAGAAAGGACCACACAGCACACAGCAGATTTATAAATAGCATTAAATAACCTGTCAGAAGTTTTATTATTTTAAAAACAAATGAAAAATGCCAGGTTTGCCACAATAATTAATATTTAAAGTATCGCTTATATAAAATCAGTATAAAAACCCTCCCTTTGGCCCGGGGGACTCGCCCCGGGTCCAATAAGCCATTTTGTTGCGCTTCTTTAAATTATAATTTAATTAAATTACTAACCTCCAGCTTCAGCCTCTTGGCTGTGTAGCTGTTGGAGGGGGGGAAGACCCTCTCTCAGAGGAGGGGTCCCTCTGGTTCTACAGAGGTTTTAAATAAATTCGCCCCTTCCAGGGGGAAATTTCAGGGTGCCTCAACCCGAGCGTAGGCAAAGTCCATAGTCCCAAGAAAATCAAGGCAGGCATAAAATGGACGGCTTCCTTTGCCCTGACTTTCTGGCTCTGCCGCCCTCACAGAAGTCAGAAAACCTAGAGAGCCTCTTCCTTCTCGCCCTCTCCATCAGGATATGTATTTAAAAATGCAGCAATCCCAAAGAGTAAGTTACCTAGGAGGGGAACTTGTGAAGGGTGCTGTTTGCGGCACAGTATGGAGTTTCTGAATCCCTGCACCGCTTTGGCATGTATATTCCTCCAAAAAGCGGGTAGAGAAGACAGGGAGATGGGTTGCGGCCCGGGATCCCGATGGTGGAGGGAGGTGTTGCACAGCTCTTTGGAGCTTGTGGACGGGCAACGGTCGTGATGCCTCATCGGGACCTGTGTTGGAATCGGAGGAGGCATCAGAGGCCAGTGGCTGTGAGACCGGGCCTTCAGTGGCCCTTTGGGGCCACGTGGATCGGCGTAGGCTGTCAAAACATTTGCCATGGCTTGCGCACCACAAATAACCTATGGTTTGTTCCTGGGTTGTGAACCATGGGTTGCTCAACAGGGCTTGTTGTTGCGGCTGGGCGCAGGCAGCAACACGACCCGTGTCAACCCTGGCAGGTGTTGTCTGAACACAGGGTGTGTCTGCTGGGGCCGGCCCTAACAGGAGTCGCACGGCTCCAACCGCTTAATCCCCACCTTCTCTTTGGAGCCAGGAACTGAATGAGGCAGTTTGGGGCATGCGCCCTGTCTGGTTTCTGCATTCTTGCCCTATTGATTCCCTGTTCTCCCTTGTTAGGCTGCAGGAAGCGTCCCCGGAAAGGCCTGTCCAGTGACCGGGCCATGCAGTGTCCCCCAGGGCCACCCTTCACCGTGGCCTTCCGCTGCTTGCGTGCTTCTGGGGACCGGGCAGCCCCACAGCCGTGGCCACACCATGAAGACCTGGCTCTTGCTTTACCCCAGCAGTGTAATGGGAGCGCGGAGAGAGGCCAGCGTGGGGAGAAAGATCCTCCTCAGCCCGACCACTGCGGGATGGAGTGGATTTCCCCAGAAGCCCAGGCCTGTAATTTCCCTGGTGCCTCGTCACGGCCACAAGAGAAGGAAGGAAATCATCCCACGCCTGGCAGTGGCTGGCTGAAGCCATGAGAGCCAAGCGGGCCGAGGAGAGAGCTGCCTGCGCGAAGGGCAGAGAGCAGGGAAAGAGGAAGCACTCGGGGGCTGAGGTAGACGCCACCGATTCAAGCACATTTGCTGGCTGGCCCAGAAAACGTGTGGTGTAAACTTGCCAAGTGTTCAGCAAGGGCCCACGGCTGCCGGCTTTGTTCTGTGCTTCTCGGTTTTGTTTTAAAGCTCGAACCCGAACCCTTCAATCATACTCAAGGTACCCAGAGGGGTGAATAAATAAAAGCCAATAATAAATAAAGTTCAGAAGTGGTTAGCCATTGAGAGGAGCGGCCCCAGAGGAGCGAAGGGGGCTTGTGGAAAGCCCGTTCTTCCCGAATCGATGCCAGCTCTCTTCTGCCTTCCGTCTCCTTCATCCCGCTGCTGGTCTCCCTTAAACCTGGAATGATGAAGCGCTTTCCTCCCCATCCTTCTCCCCACCCCGGATTCCTTTCTGGAGCCTGGCTTATTACCCCATAACGTCTCGTTTCTCCCCGGGGAGGGAAGCGGGGTGAGCCTGCCAAGCCAACACCGAGTCTGGCTGTGCGAGCAACGCTCTTTTCCCTCCCCCCACTCCCCCTCCTCAGTGTCCTGCATCGCCAGATGTCCAGGCCGTGCCAAGCGGACCAAAAAGCAGTCCACAATTTGCTGCAGAAGAGCTGGCCGCTGTCCAGCCGAGACCCAGCATGGCGCCCTGCTGGTGAGCGGTCCTTCCTGTGCAGGGGGTCCTTGGAAGGGTGGCAGAGGCAGTGTGCCTTTGTCCTCTTCGGAACGGCCAAGGGCCGCCTCGGAGCCCCCCCCTCCCCACGCCGGCCCCCACTCAGGTTTGGAGGACCGCCTTGCTCCGGAGTCTATTTGCGGCCTCGCCGGTTCCTTAGGACCTGTAAGATGTGGGCTTTCTGCTTCAGCCACTGACTCGACGGCTTCTTCTGTGGCTTGGGCACAAAGAAGGTGTACTTGAGGCGCGGGGTCTTCTCGTCAGTCACCACCAAGGCCTGCAGGGTGAGGGGCTCCGCCAGCGGCCCCCGGCCCGTGATCATCTCCACGGCCTTGGTGGCCCCGTTGTAGCGCAAGGTCGCCCCGTCCTGCAGGCGGACGTCCTGCTCGGAGGGCGTCAGGATGTAGTTGCCGTTGAGGGCATAAGAGCCGTCCCGCCGGCGCAGTGCCAAGTAAATTCCATCGCTGGCGGACGATGAGGCGCTGTTCTGCCGGATCAGGATGTGGGTGGCTCCGGCGGGGATGGTGACCACGTCATTGTATCCGTACCTGGCGGGTGGGAGAGCAAGCTGCGTCAAGGATCGCTCGGGACGGAGTCTGGCAAAGGGCCGCCGTGGGATTCCTAAGCTGGCATCTGCAGCCCCGCAATGCAGCTTGGGGGGGGGGGGGTTCATTCTCAGCACAGCAAGTCGAATCTTGAACCCCCTGCATGCGAGGACTCCCAAGTCGGGGTGCAGGACCTCTTCCAGTCTGAGGGCCGCAGAGCAGCTCTCAGGGGGCCCTATTCCAGTAGTGGGCGAAGCTATTTTTCGGGGCTTGCAATCTATTCCCTGGAGACCTGAGCTTGCTTTCTTAGCCTAACTGCCATTCCATTCAAGGGGGATTAGAGCTGGACAGGGAAGGGTTAACCGCTCTTCCCACTTCCTGCAACCCCCCACCTCCTCACCCTCACACTGCAATTTAATCGATTTTTAATCGATTAATCAGTAGGAAACCATGGGGAGCTGCCACGCCTGGGGGAAATTTCTCAGGAGCCTGTTGTCCAGGAGGAAGGAATTAACCCTCCCCTCCTTGCGCTCCGCAATAAAACGCCCGGGAAAAGCCACACCTTGGGTTGCGGATCATTTCCACGCTTAGCCGTGCTTCCGGAAGCAAGACCTGGATTGCACCGGGAGCCACGCCAGGCATCCTTGCCGTTCCTGCACCGCCGGCGCAAGCGTCGCTCACCTGGGCTTGGCGAAGGAGCCGTAGACCTTGGTGCAGGCCGAGTTGTCCCCGCCGCACACCATGCATTTGTCGAACTTCTTCTTGGAGCCGATGACGCGGTCGCAGCCAGCGTGGATGCAGCGGCCCTGCACGCAGACCGAGGTGGACTCCGGGGAGCAGGGCGTCCCGTCAGCCACCTGGACCAGAACGACAGTCGGTTGGCCTCCCAGCGGTTCCTGGGCCTCCCGTTCCGCTCCAGCCCCCGCTTCCTCATCCCCTCTTGCTCTGGACTGCCTTCATTTCCCCCCGTGCCCCACCCTGACCGCCCACCTCCCCATCTGCTCCTGTGTTCTGAGACGGCCTCGGGCGACTGCACAGTATAGAAACGAATTAAATAATAAGCAAAAACACAAATGAATCCCGCCCCGCAGTCTGCCAAGGCACGGCGCAGCCCCTTACCCTTGGTTCCAGAACGTAGTAATAGCCCAGGGCGTGAGACTGGCAGGTCAGCTTGCACTGGTCGCGCTGGGCCACACCGCTGTACCGGGGCACCCAGTCCATCGGGGCCGGGTAATCCTTGAACATGTCCGTTCGGTGGTTGTACACGGCACACTGCTGCTCACGATAGGTCAAGGCTGGAACAAAATTTATTTATTTACAATATTTATTTATTTATTTGCAATATCTATCTATCTATCTATCTATCTATCTATCTATCTATCTAGACAGCTTGTATGCCGCCCCATTCACATAAGCCTCGGGGCGGCTTCCAATACATACATAAATATATTTCTAAACAAAATACATAAAATACTGGAGACATCCTGGTAGCGGATTTAAAATCAATAAATAAAATCAACAGTTAAAATAACGTTTAAATAAAAAGGTCTTGGCCTGGCGCCGAAAAACAACTAATGAAATCCCCATGTATTTGTCAGATTGTTATGCTGTGCTTTCTCTCTTTCTCCCCTTCCATTTTTCCCGACAACACCCCTGCGTGGTGGGCTCGGTTGAGAGGTAGGGGCTGGCCCCAGATCTGCCAGTGAGCTTCAGGGGCTTTTGAACCTGGCTCTGCCCAGTTCCAGAACTAACCACGACTCCACTGCTACTCAGGCAGAGTTGACTTTCATAACTTAACGCAAGATGCTTCTTGCCCCACAGATGGATGGGGGATTCTGCTAGTGTTCATGGAATAAAACAACAGTCCTTGAATGCAACCTTTTCTCTCAGTATCAAACCAGGCATATGTTCAAGAGGCCGAACGAAGCACCGGCTCAGTTTGCGTAAGAGGCTTGGTGTGAGCAGGTGGCCGGTCACTAGCAGCTTCACTAGCCGGCACCTGTCGCCTCGCTAGTCCAGCCAGAAAAGGAATCGGGAGGCCTGCTGTGTCCCATCCACCCCGTGCTTTTCAGCACTGTACTCTTGCTGAATGTACTCGGAAAACTTAAGCCTGCCATTCTGTGAGTCAAACTAAATGTATATTTAAGCTGGGTTTTTTTTTTTTTTTTTTGCTCTACTTTGGATGCCTCTTGGGTAGAAAGGCAGGGAACGCCAACGCCTGTCGTAGGAGTGTGATCTTACCGTTCCCGTCAGGGCATTGCTGGACCTGGCACGAGCGGAACTGGATGCGCTTCCCCTCGCAGTACTTGCCCCCGTTCCGTGGGACGGGCTTGTTGCACTCCCGGCTGGAGTACTGCACCCCCCCTCCGCAGCTGCGCGAGCACTCGCCCCACGGGCCCCAGCGGCCCCAGCCGCCATGGGTCGGAATCTGGAAGCAGGAAGACGGGAGAGAACCGGGTGAGGACGGGCTCTGCATGGCCAAAGGCCAGCGCTTAGTAATGCTGAGACAGGTCAGCGCCCTCTCCCCGGCACCGCAGGCGGGCGAACGGAAGCAGGCGGAGGTTTTGGCCAGGTTTCCCGATCTGCTTTTTAGCGAGAGTCAGTGCCGTGGGGCGGTGAGAGCCGCAGGCCCAACTGCAGAGACCTGAGCCCCCTGGTCCCGGGGCCCTAATGCAGCTCCTTGCAGTTCTCCAGATAACTAATCCCCTTTTCACAACAGCTGGGCTTTTGGGAAGAGTCCCGCCTCCTGCCCAGTTTTCCCTCCCTCCGGAAGCTGAATCGCCTCTCCCGAGGCTCGGACGGGCAAGAAGAGGTTAGGCCAGCATAGGCTGGCATTGCTGGTATCTGGGCCCGGCTTGCCCACCCCCAGCGGGACGTCGAGCTACATGCTTCGGTTCGCGGGGGCCGCCCCAAGAACTCCCCTGAACGGGGATTTGGCCCCCGGCGACGGGGTGCGAACCCTCCCAGCCCAAGCGCCTGCCAGCAGGGCGACTCACGTCGTACGCCTTCAGCTCCACCTTGCTCATGCACTGCCCGCTCATGCAGCTCTTGCCCTCGCCGCACCGCGTGCCGTCGGCCCAGGGGAAGTACTTGGTCTGGCACATGAACTGCCCGTTGATCCGGCCCGTGCACCACAGCGAGGAGCAGGGCGGGTGCATGTTGGGGCAGTGCCGGGAGTCCGGCCCGAAGCTCAGCTGGCACTGCTGGTCCACGTCGTAATTGTTGCCGGGGAAGACGGCCGGCAGGCTCAGGGGCTCGTGCGGCTTGTCCAGGAGGCAGAGACCTGCAGGGAGAGGGAAGGAAGGGGAGCCTTGGGGTTACGTAAGTCCAGGAAAAGCTCCCAGTTTTGTCAATTTAAAACCACCACCACCAGTAACCTGGCCTGACAAAGAGTTCTGGAGAGCTTGGAAGCCTGCACATTTTTCTCTGGTAAGCTCCAGCTTCTCGTTCTTTGTCAAGCATGATGCACATCGGGGGGGGGGGCCCTAGTGCGGCACCCACAACATTCTCCCCTCCCTGACCCCTTCAAAAATAAAATTGAGACAGTTCTTGGGAAATGTCAGGCCAGTCTATCCCCTTCCCAGCTTCAAGCCTCGCTCTTTGCCTCCTTTCGATCCCTTTGCCTCTTCTTCCTCTCCGGGCCGTCTTATCCCTCCCCGCTCCTTAGCTCACGGTTTCCCCCATCCCAGCTTCTAGCCTGGCCCCTTCGCTCTGCAAATGTGATTTCTCCTCCTGCCTTCCTAGCCACTTTCTTTCCCGGTCTTTCCAGCCTTGCCAGAGGAACCCGCTGGATTTGCTTCTCTTGCACTGGCAGGCTTGGGAGCCGTGATGGGAGACGAGGAGGGCGAGGGTGGATCATGCTCATGGGGCGAGAGAGCGCTGAGGAAGGGGGGGTGTGGCGGTCACAAAACATGGGGCCGGAGCGACGTGGACTTCAGGTCTGGCCCGGCAAAGGCCTCTCTGCGCATCCTGGCGCTCCCCTACACTGCCCGGGCCTCCCCAGCGCCACTGGCGCTCCTTTTGGGACGCCGCGAAGCATCGCCACCGTCCGGCGGTGCGTGAGGGCGGCATGCAGAAGAACCTGAGCGCTGAGGAGGAGACGCTTGCTCCGGCCAAACAGAGGAGGGGCATCCAGGTGGGGCGGCAAGCTCTTACCATGACCATTGTCCAGGAAATCGGTGATGAAGCGGCCACTGCACGGCGACCACATCTCATCGGGGTCCACGGGGGACATGACAGAAGCCATCATGTGACGGGAGTTGGTGTGGCGGTTCAGCTCTTTGCAGTGTTTGTCGTCGTCATGGAGCATGCTGAAGACATGCCCTACACGTGGGGAATGAGGCAAGGGGGACATTTATCATCTCCCACTCCCTCTAAGGCCCTCGGTACAGAACTGTGGTGCATCCCCGATTTATACGCTTGCCACTCCAGAGCGCAATCCGACTTTCAGGAGCCCCGTGGAGATGCCACAGCCTGGTCGCCGGATCCTGCTCAGCAGGAAGGGCCTGGAAGGAATGCTGGGGCGGACCGGCCACCCAGACCCCGCTTACCAAGTTCGTGGGCTGCTGTGAAGGCAGACTGGAGGCCGTCATCTTCCACGATGGAGCAGCTGCGAGCCGGGTCACAGACCGTGCCGACGTCCGCCATGCCGAGAGTGCCGCAGCTGGATCGCCCGCAAAGATCCTGCCAGCGGAAGAGAAACGGATGCTGTGGACACTGCTCTTGTGCTAGGGCTGGGCGGACTGGCGTTCAAGCTACTCAAGAAGGGACTGGCGTCTCCATGCGGCCTTTTGTCTGGGTGAAGCACCCTTTAAGCAAGGGGATTTCGCAGGCAGGCAGGCAGAGACCCCCCAGTTGCGTCCTATAAGTGCATCACTCCATAAGACATTCTCTCCTCCAAAAGGAAGAGAAACTGGAGCCAGCCAGAGCTTCCAACTTGGTACTAACATGCCAGGTCCCCATGATGCAGACAGGTTGCAGAATTCGGCATTTCTTAAGGACACTGATTCGCAGTTGAATCCGCCTCACAGGGTTGTGAAGATACAGTCAGAGAGGAAGAGTCATATATACGCCACCAGAGGGGAGAAAGGCAGGACAGAAATGCCATCAAAACTGAGGAAGATGTGCCTGGGGCCACCAGCGGGACGCTTACCTGTCGGGTGAAAAGAATGGCCGTGTCAAAGTGCTCCGGATCCTTGTCGCTGGGCTTGTTGAGGCCCTTCTGCCAGGTGCAGAAGTTCCGCAGTGTCTCGGCGGCGTTGGACGACACCTGCAGGCCGTCCTCGCCCTCTCCGATCACCACCAGCCTGGTCACGACCAAGTTGACTGGGTTCTTCAGGCTGGGGTGGCGGAAGAACTTGGCTGCGGCGGCCATGATGGTGAGCAGGTACGGCTTGAGGCCTCCGCCGTGGAAGCGCACCATCTCCTTGTCGGCCACCACCAGCGTCTCCACGTAGCGCGGGATGGAAGCAAACCTCTGCAGGGGAGAGAGGAAGGCGGGGGGATTAGGGGGCGGCAGACCAGTGGGCTTCTCCAGAAACTTCCACCATGGACCCTGCAACTGCCGAACCTGGACGCTTAGGAGTTCTGAGTGAGAATCTACTGGCTGGGGTCGATCGGAGTTGCAGCCTGAAACATCGGCCCTGTCCAGCTAGAGATGGCGGAGGCTGCTGTTGTGGGGAGAAGGTTCTGCACAGATTGGTCCATCTGCAGATGCTGCATCGATTCGTCTTCCGGGCCCTGCTTGACCAGGGGGAGGCTGCTGGTCAGTGGCGCTTGTGCCCGGAGGCCGGATGTCTGCGAGCAGCAAGAGGGTTAAGGAGCTGCATCCGACCGCGTGGCTCGCTCTGGCCGCATGCCACGCCGAATTCCTGTGCACGGAGGGGAGGGGGGGCTTTGGGGGCCGGGCTTGTCGCTCGGACGGAGCTGCCAAGCACCAAAGCCTTCGGTGCAGCGAGAGGGCAGGCGCCAGGCTGGGGCTTCCCCGCCCCGTGGCCAGCGAGAGGCAAAAGGCCACCAGGGGCTGCCGGAGCTCCCGTCCGGGTGGCCCGCCATCCTCTGCTTTGCAGAGGACTGCCATTTGGGGTCGTGCAGAAAGCTTGACACTCTCCTCCCATCCGTCCTAGACAGCACTGCCAACGGCCAGGCTGCTGGGAGTTGCGTGCCTAAACTTCCGGAGGCCGCACGCTGCACCGGCAGGGCTGTCCACTCCAAAATAATTCTATTTTTTTAAAATTATGCATACATTATGACGATGGAAACCCACATCCACTCTTTTGCTCTCTCCCTCCCTCTCCCCGTCTCAATGGGGCGTACTAACCCAGGCAAGGAGCCTGTTCCCCCAGGTCTAAATGCGGGTGTTGCGGTGGCACAGACACATTCTCTTCTGCACATGCTCAGGGAAAGAACATGCCACCCAGTTTTCAAATTACGAGGAGGCGGGGGGAGGACAGGGATCCTCTCAATGGAATCCACAAACTTCCCCCGACTTCCCCAATTTTAATCAGGTCTTGGCCTCCCACCAGCCTTCTAAAATCAGCAGCTCGGGGAGCGCTCAGGAAAGACACGTCCCTTCCTATCATTCTTCCTGAAACTGGAGCGCAGGGGGCCAGTCTTGGCTCAAGTTGCAATTGTCCTTTTAAAAAAAGTAAGCCCTTTGGGGCAGGAACCCGAGTTCGGCTTCTGTTGCTCTGTGGAGCTATGCTACAGGAAGCATGAGAAAGAGTCCGGGTGGGATGTGGGTGCCAGACGGGCCATGTGTCCAGAAGAGCCGGCTCTGTTGTCAGGACAGGGGAGGTCATCTTGGGCAGTACCCCGGAGCAGAGCAAGCCACCTGGCCCTGCCCACGGCATCGGGCCCATTCTGTGCAGGCACTTACAACATCCCTCAAAAGCTCCTGAGATGTTGGCTGTGAAGCAGGGCCCTCAGGTTTGCTGCAAAACTCCTGCAGCGGGTTGAGAAGCAGAAGTGAGCAGAGCTCTGCTCGAGGCTTCAGAAGCTCTCCAGTGTCCCTCCAGCCTAGTATCCTGTTTCCAGCAGGGGACAGCTACTGAGGCCTCTGGAAGGTCAGCAGCAGGCATGGGCAGAGCAGCCTCCCCCGACTGCTGCCCCCCAGCTTCTGGCATTGGGCGGTATACTGCCCTTGTCCTTGGAGGTTCCATCTGGCATTCGGAGCTGGCAGCCACCAATAGACTAATTCACCCGCCTTTGTAAAGCTCTTCTCACACTAACTGATCCTAACAGTGCTACCAGTCCAGCCTCTGTGACAGGTTGTCGTTCTTTCTGGAGATGCAGTTAGATCATGTCAGACTCTGAACCAAGTGGCCTTAAGGGAAGGGCCCCTCGTTAGCCTTTCGATGGTAGCTCTGGCACAGGACGAGCCAAACCGGGCATGCGGGCTTCCACCTGTGTCATCCCGCTGGCTGGGGGGCCAGGCCTGTGCCCCTGAGTCCTACCCTAATGGCTCCGGGGCTGATTTCCTCCAGGGAGGTTGGGCGCTTCTCTCTCCCCCTCCTTCCCAGCTGCCTCCTCTCTGGAAGCAGCCCGACCCTCCCAGGTGGCTTTCCACCTGCACGGGTGTGCATAGGTGGGATGTGGACTTGGGAGCAGTGAAGCCGGTGCAAGTAACTCCCGGCCCCGGGGCAGTGGGGCAGGTTCGGCCTGATTTCCTGCCTACCAGCGCCTGGCTGCTTCCCCACACGGTGCAAGAGACGGGGGTTTCCTGCTGCAGAGAGGCAGCTCTAGCCCCTTCCAGGCCCGGTGCTGGGTGTCTGGCCTGCAGCGGCTCGGGCGCCCTCTTCCTCGGTGGTCCCTGGGCCGGGTCTTTCCCGGCCTGGGGCAGCCCCTCTGCCACATGCGCCTCGTTTCCTGCAGGGAGGTGTGACCCATCGGAGAGGTGCATGCGAAATCTCGGCAGCAGCCTCTGGGAGCGCAGCCTGCCCTCCGCCCCGCTCACACAGCCGAGGCATCTTCAGGGGAGTCCGTGCCAAGGAAAGATCCGCCCCCTGTGCCCCTCTGGGTTCCCCTTTACTCCCAAGCAGCTGGGTCTGCAGTGCCCTCCAGGATCCCTCCTGTTCCGGTGCCACTTCTAGCCTCCTCTCACCACCCGCCCTTTTCCCAAAGACCATGTCACTTCCCTTCCTTCCCTCCCCTTCCCTGTTCCAAGGGAGGAAGGCCTTCCGGTGGCCTTCAGCCGAGCAGGGCTGCTTGCTTTCCCATGTGCCTCTGCATTTCTGCTTTCCCAACTCGGCAGCTGGGGCAAGGGGCGGCTGGCCGAGGCTCGGGGGTGGCGGCGGAAGGCGCGGCATCGTGGCCCTGGGGCTGGGCTTTCCCTGGCTCGGTCTGTTCTGCCGTGATCTCGCAGACTTGCCCCCGGGAGCGACCAGAAGGAAACAGGCGGCACATCCTGGCCCCGAGAGGGAGGGAGGACGCTTCCACGGCCGCAAAAGTGCCTCGAGGGAACGAGGTGGGAACGAGCGCACACGGGGGCGAGGGAGCCCTCGGTCTGCCCCTATGCGGTCGTGAGTGGGTTAAATCGGTATCGGGCCAGCACGGAGAATGCCGCTGGCAGGAGGGCCGGAGGGCAAGGGGGCTCTCCGTGAGGGTCTGGGGGCACCTGAGCAGAGAGATTCAGTGTGGGGTGTGGCGCAGCAACGACAAGCCTGGTCAGTGGCTTTCCGGGATCCTGCCCAGGAGGAACCGCTCTAGCGAACGCTCCATGTTGCAAAGTGCAGCCAGAGAAGGCCGCAAGTCTCACCTGTCGCCAGGTAAGGCCAAGGGCCACCAGGGCGACTTTAGCACCGCTGGACAGCCACCGGCTCTACACCGCCAGGCACCCTGGCCCCGCTCGGTCTCTCCGAGCTGCCTGCTCGCGTTTGCCCTCCCTGGCCGCGGAACGAGAAGTCCTTGGAAGATGCCGACGTGTATTCCTTTCCTTCAAATTATGGGAAGCCCTCCAAGTCCTCCCCCAACAGTGGCAAGGGAACCCAGGGAGGAGAAGTGCCCCCTGCGAAACCATCTGCTTCCGGTTCCCCGGAGAAAGAGGGCATCCTGGGACCCTCCCCACCACCTGGCCAAGGGCAACCTCAGTGTGAGACCGAACGCACCAGTGGCGCTTTTCTTCCCCTCCCAGAGGGCAGCCCAGGCGGCGTGTGAGGAACGGTGCAGGTGAGGGGCTTGCCTCCCACCCAAACAAGCCTCCGGAGGCTCCCGCCTTACCTTGGCTCTCCTGGGAGATCCTCCCGCCCCGGCCAAAGGCTCCGCGCCCACAGCCGGCCTGCTCTCTGGCACGTGGGATCCGACTCCGCACATCGGGCCGCCGGCTTTCTCCGGCATCTTCTTTCTCACCACGTGGGCACCGGCTCCTCCCGCCGTGTTTGGGGCTGCCCCTTCCAGGGGCTGGACGTGGTACTCGGCGCCACGGAACTGCAGCACCCCCAGCAGAGAGGACCCGTTGTAGTTGACGGCCACGATCGATTCCGGGTCGGAGTTCACCGTGCCGGTGAAGTACGTCCCCTGCTCGGTCAGGCCGTCCACTGCTTGCCCAGATCCGCCCAGGTACTGCACGGTCAAGCCCTCCGTGAAGAAGCTGGGGTCTTTCTCCAGGTGGAGGACCAGCTCTTCGCCAAACACCCGGAAGCGGTAGGCGAGCCGCTCCTCGGGGCTCCCGTCGGTGCCGAGGCTGTTATCAAACGTGCCGTCCTTGTCCTGGCCCGCACGGTGATGCGTGATGTTGAGCCTCTCCGGATAGATGATTTCTTCTTGGTACCCCCCAAAATGCTCATGCGCAGCCCGGATCAGGGGGCAGCCAGAGGCGAGCAAGAGGAGGAACGTCGGGAACAAAATGCTTTTAGAAAACGAGCTTGGATCTAGAGGGGCCTCCATTTTTCCTAGGGGTGTTTCTGAGGCAAGAGGCGCCCTTGAGGAGCAGCTCCTGGGAATCGCAAAAATAAGGGATCCCTCTTGATCTGTGGGGCACCCTAGCTTTGGGGGGCTTTTATAGACCTGGAAAAGCAGAGTCTGCCGCCTTGCACACTCGGGCTGAAGTTACTTCTTCGATTGTTCGCGTTCTATTTTAGCTAGCAATCGTTTCTTTCCAGAATATCTTTCTTTTCCTTCCCCGCTTTGTTGCTGCCAAGTCTTTCCTCCAATGGACTTTTGTCTTCTTTTCCACGCTCACGCTGCAAAAAATGGCCAGCGTCTTCCAAAAGTCCGTGCGGCAAGACAGTGTAGTGTTCTCCCCTCTAACCACTACCTTTTTTCTTCCCGTTTCAAAATTTAGAAAGAAATAATACTGATATTTTAAGCAAGCTCTGCTTCTCTTCAATAAAGGAGTTTAAATGAAGAAAAAAAAGACCTTGGAAATAGGAGAAGGAGCCAAGCCCCTGCAATTTCACACGTGTCTTTCAGTCTTCTGCATAATAATTCTCAGAAACTTTCTGCAACAGAGAGAGAGAATTCTGTGCTGTGTGTGCATGCAGCTGTTTTGTGTGTCTGCTCGCCTCTGTGTATATATTAGTCCTCTGCTGTGGCAAGCGACTCGACGTGCAGTGCTTATAACAGCTGCATCTGGCTCTCAGGATTGGCTGAACTGAGAAAAGGGTGTTTTTTTTTTTTTTAATCGCAACTTCCCCCGCCTCCAAATTTTGCTGATGCACATGGAGACGTAAGCCAGCAGTTTTTTTGTTTTTTGTTTAATGAGCTATTACGGTTTGGGGGGGGGGTTGTTTGGTTTTTTATTCTTCTATGAAAGGGAAAGAGGGGAGGCTAAGTTGAGAAATAATGATTCAGCCAGAGGCTATGAATCAACTGACACAGCATTTCGCTTGCTTTCTTCTTTTTTAAAAAGATAATGCCAGAACTTCTTGTGCGTTTCCTTCAGCTGTTCTGCCGCCATCCGCCAAGCTCTGAGTTCGCTTTACAGTACCAATTATTTGCCGAACTCAACCGGCTGCATTCAGATAAGGCGATGACCCACCCCAAGGGTTGGAAACGGGTTGGGCGCGGGTGGGTGCTGAAAGCTGGGTTATCGATCGTGCTGTCGGAACCCAGCCGCGCCTAACCATGAGGGTCAACGAACCACCCCGATTCAGCCCCTAAGTCGCCTGAACCTGCCGTATCGCCACACGGAACTCAAATTGCCCACAAAAGATATCGCAGGAAGCGGACCGTCAGCCTAAACTCCGAGAAAGGAAGCCCAGTGTCCAGTGGGTTGTTTCCTGTGCTTCCCAGTCACAAGGCAATGCTGTGCATTTCTATATCAGCGGAAGCCTATTAAATGCAATGGGATTTCTGCCTGAAAAGGCCCACTGATTAGCACAGCAAAGCCCCAATCCTGTCCACCCAGTTCCACCAAATCCTCCTCAGCCGGCTTGCGTAGGACAGTGCTGCCCCCTTCTGAAGCCAGCGACACCCGTCCGCAGCAAAGGGGTGCAGTCCGTTGCCATGGCTGCGCATCACTGCCTCCCAGGTAATCTGTCCCTGATCCCGCTCAACGGTAGCGACGTTCTCCCCACAGGTGACTCTGGGAATAGCTCCCTGTGGGGCAGCGGAGGACTCACCCCCTGGCCTTGGAGAGAAACCAGTCTCATTCCATGCTTTCTTGATAGGAGGGCTAGTGGGGGAGCGTGCAGATGGGAGGGAGGGAGGAACCGCTGAACCAACCCAGCTTGAGTGTGGGCCAAACATTCGTCTCCAGATGTTTTGGATATCGACTTCCAGCAGGCCCTGCCACCACGGCCCGTGTTCAGGGACACCGGGAAGGGAAGTTCACAACCTCTGGAGACTGACTTTTTGCCCAGCCCTGCTGGATCGTGCATAGGTTGACATCCCACCGGTTAGAAATGGCCCAAATTGGCCAAACCGTTGGGCAGTGTGCCCCAGTCCCCCCAAAGCCAGCCTTCATGGAACCCGAGGCTGGCAAAGTTCCTGACACGGACCGTCGTCCGTTGCCTGAGCACAAAGGCTTTCCCGAGTCCTGTATCCACCCACTAGACCTGCCCCCCTGGCAATATGGCAGGTAACGTATTCCCACACTGGAGACATTCAAGAAGGCACCTCGACAGCCATCTGCGCGGGATGGCGCAGGCTGGGGTCCCGCAACAGCAGCGGGTGGACCTGGCGGCCTGCACAGCCCCTGCCAACTCTCCCCTTCCGTGGCTGTCACAGTGGACTCCTTAGTTATTCGAGGACTTCTCTTAGTTGAAGGAGCTTTCCATGCTCCACTCAGGGCAAGCAGAGGCCCATTGCCTCGGGGGGCTTTTTGGGCCCAGTTTATGCCCCTCCTTTCCAAGAAATGGTGCAGCTGGATAGCAGACTTCTCCCGGGGCTTGCCTCTCTAGCTAGGCCATTGCCTCGGTTTCTCAGTGGGCATCGCTTGATCTCACTTGGCATGCAGAAACATGATTCAAACTTTGCCCTCTTTTATGAATGATGCACTTCTGGGGGGGTGTATGAAGTGTAAGTCGGGGCCCTGACTTTCCTCCAAGGCGACCTGGCTGACCTCTGGGAAAGCCAGCCGTGTAGTCATGACACTGATTCTTCCCAGATGCTGCCGCAGATCGGAGCACGGATGGCTCGTTCTGTCCTGGGCTCTCGGTTCACTCGGTCAGGGCTTTCCATTTTATGTCACTGTGCCTTTCCCAGGCCCAGAGGGATCTTCTGGGAATAAGAAGCCCTCCTTTCCCACAGTCCCCTGGGCCTCCTTGGAAAAGCTGAGAGACCTGCCAAGATGCACATGGGCCTGGCTGAGTGAGCCACACCGGGAATAAGCTCTTGGAAAACAGTGCTTTCGAGAGAGAAGAAAAGTCTGGCTGGGTTCCAGAGAGAAATCTCGCTCGTTTCTTGGCAGCCAGACACTAACTATGTATTCCTCAGCTTGTAGCAACCGACTTGCTCTCTTTCCCGAATTTCCGCTCTTCTTTCTTACTTTGTGGTTGCACCAATGTGCTGTTGCTGCATCGGACTGCTTCCTTTCTTCCATTGGAGGGCAGTGGAGAAGTTGAGAAGACTAGAATGATGTAGGTCAGGCCCAGCAAACTTCAGGCTAGTGGGAAAATCGGAGGAAGATTGCTCCCCGGGGCCGTTGGCGTCTTCCCTCGGATCTGTGCCCCCCTCCGGCAGATGAGCTCTTATCTCAGATCAGCTGGTACCTGGAGATAAAAGCGTCTCCCTGCTAGGCAAGGGGCAGGGTTTGGGGAGGCCGCTGCTGAGTGATTCTCTCCTGCTTGCTTCTACACCTCTGAGTAGGCTGAAAATATGCGAGAATCATGGCTTGTTTGCCCTTAGTTGCACTGACGGATGGGGCATGACCCTCCCGCCCCCTCCCCGGGATTTTTTTCAAATTAGGATTTGACTCTGAGACTAAAGAGGGTTCTGCACCTCTGACAAGGAGATGAAGATCTTTTTTTCTCATAATGCTAAAACTTGGCTCTTCCACATTAATAGGGGCAGGGATAAATCCTTCTGCTTAACAGGCTCTTAATGCTGAATAGAACCTCCTTGTTCAAGGACAGGCTACCTCTGGAGGTCAGAAACTGGCAGAGGACACAAGGAAGGGGTGCTAGACTGAAGGCCGGGGCACAGAACCTTTTTCTGCTCGAAAGCCAAATTGCATTTTGGAGGTACTCTCAGGGGCCACCTCTGGTGGGCAGTGGGGGGGGGGAAGCCCCCCCATATTTTAGCTTAATGCCAAATCTGTGGGTGGGGGAAAGAGTTTGGAGCTGCAGGAAGATGCATGGCCTCTGAGGAGCCCAAGGGGGGAGACCGGCCCCCCCGGCAGTTTTGTGCCCCTATATGCTGTCCCGCTTGTGGAATCTGGACCCCCCTGGCCTGATCCCAGCAGAGTTATTTTTACATTTCAGTATAATAAGTACAACGGGCGAAGTGTTGCGTTCAGAAACAACACACAGTCCTTGGTCTCTTGCCATGATCTATATCAAGTTAATACAATGGGCAAATTCTATACGATTCTTTCCCGTGCCTTTGTTTTCCTTTGTCCTCCTCTAACCTCATCTCGGGGCCTCTCCCCTCTGCTCGGCTGCGATTCAGACACCGCTGGTTTGCCGTCTCCCCCGTGCAGGGGGAGATCCCTCGGCCGCACCGCCAGGGCTTTGGCAAAGCCCCCACAGCCGCACTGGAAGAGGCGAGTTCAAAAGGGCAGATTCCGACAGGGCAGATTCAAAAGCTTCTGCGTCGCCCCCCTTCTTTCCTACCCTCCCCACCTCTTCACCGTCTCCCCTCCTCTACCCCAGTTTATTCGCACTCTTTCCAAGCCTTGTTTTCTCTCTCTGAAGGTCTTTACGTCCATGTGGCCACTTCGGCCCGTCTTGCCGCTCCTGCCATGGGGTGGAGCGATTCCTCTTCCCCCTGTCTTTTCCCTTCCTCCCCATGCTCAGCTTGGCTTCCTAGCAGATGAAAAAGACACTCCTCTAAGCTGGAGACAGACACACATCCCTTCATTTTCCCAATGGGGTACCACTTGGCATCTCAGAAACTAAGAAAGTGGGTATAATTTAACATACAGAGCAAGATTTCGGAAGGTAGGACTTTTCTTCCTTTCAATATCCTCTGCCCACCTCTTTCTGAATCAAATGTTCCATCTGCTGATACAATAACCTTTCACACGGCCAAATATCAAGGCAAAGAAACTGGGTCATTTGAAAAAAACATATTCATTCCGCTTTCAAAAGCATACGAATAGCTAAGCACCACTATCCTATAATATGCTGGCTCTATTCCCCAAAGTCCCCTCTCCTCGCTAGCTAAGAAACCCAGACTTCAGGAAGAAGGGCTTATAGCATCAGCGGTACAGTCCTATATATGTTTCAAGAGAGAGGGCCTTGCCAGCATTCCCCATATCTAACACACATCTAAACATTGCACCCAATATATCTTGCTTCGTACACTTGATGTTTTTCAGTGGGCATAGGGACTAGAAACATGCGAGGCTTTTACTTTAAGAAAACCAATTAAGTGGCGCGTCTGTCACTCTGCCGCTCGGAAGTTGTGAGTGTACGGTGGCATCACAGTGTTTGCTGGAGCCTCCCGGCAACGAGCCCTTTTTTTAGCCCCGTCAGACTGGCATGCTGGAGCGTATTAGTCCCCAAACCCTTTTGTTATAGGTGTGGTTTGGACATTTGCGGTGACACACGATCTCACACCGAGCGGTTCCCGCTCCGTGTCCTCTGGGGGGTTGTGCTGCGGCCAGAAAGGCACAATTTCTCATCTTCATTGACCTATATTTGGAGCAGAAGCCGGGCAGGGGAAACCGACCTGGAAGAGCGATTCACGCTCGTTTCCACTGGGCGTTGGACTCATGGACGGGGAGACAGGAGCCGGCCGGGTGGGGGGCAGATGGCCCAGGCAGCTGTGAAAGGAAATGCTCCCCATCCACTTTGGGAACATGGCCTCATTTCCACCCGTTTCCCATCCGGATGGCAGACACAGACGCTGCGGCTGTTACCTTTTTAACGCCTTAGAAAGGCATGACTCAGAGGAGGCCGGCAAGGCTGTGTGAGGCCACACAAAACTGGCCGCCCCGGAGGAGTGTCACTGTGCTGTGTCCCAAG